ACTCGCAATAAGCAACACCAAGTAGGTATGTGAAAAATCTAAGCCACTGTGTGAGGCTGAGTTGTAAAGTCTTTATCACTGTGTGCGATAAAGCGTGTAGTCACTGTGTGCGACTATTCTTTGCCGCTGTGTGCAGCAAAGCGCGCATCCACTGTGTGAGGTTGCGTTGAAAGTCTTTATCACTGTGTGTGATAAAGCGCGTGATCACTGCTATGTAAGTCTTTGCCACTGTGTGCGACAAAGCACGCAGTCACTGTGTGAGACTGCGTTGAGACAATAGGCCTAATTTTTGTTGTTTGTGTGTGAGGATATTTTTTGTTGTTGTTGTTGTTGTTGTGTGAGTGTGTGCGGAGCAGAACACGTGGTCTGTGACGTCGGCAGCTGTTGTTGTTATTATGGGTTCCCAAGCAACCAAGAGTGTGTCAGAGGGTGACGAGAAGTTTATGGTGAAATTCGCTCCCGGTAGCGCAAAGTATTTAGGACATTGGCGCAAGAAATATGATTTTGAAGGTAAATTGGTTGTAGGACAATGTCAAATGTTAGTAGACCAGTTGACAGTGAAAGCAGCTTGTGCGACAGGGAAATTGAAACAGGAGAGAGAGTTACAAGTGGCGTCCGCTAAATTGTGGTTAGAACAGGCGCAGAAGAGACAGGAGGCAGTGACTATATATACTGACAGTCAGTATGCATATGCTACACTTCATTTCTTTGCCGCTCAGTGGTCAAGACGAGGCATGACAACATCAACAGGTAAACCTGTGGAGCATGCGACATTGTTGCAGGCCCTGTTGAAAGCAGTCTTACTGCCTAGTAAAGTTGCGGTTTGTAAATGTGCAGCACACACACGTGGCACTGACCCCATTGTACTAGGCAACGCCTTTGCAGATAAAATTGCAAAGGAAGCGGCCCTTGGAACACATGGGGTTCATGTTCTGGCGTCACAGGAGCAAACTACGCCCATCACACATGATGTGTTAGCAGACATGCAGTCACACTCACCTCCAGCTGAGAAGCAGCTGTGGCTCACTAAAGGAGCAAGCCTGCGAGGTGATGTCTACTATCTTTGTGATAAACCTATATTGCCTAAGAACCTATATAGGACTGCTGCAAGTTTGAGCCACGGGCTCTGCCATGTCTCGACAGCTGGGATGGTGGCAGCAGTCGAACGGCAGTTTTTCACACTGGGATTCAATGCTTATTCAAAACATTTTTGTAAAGCATGTTTAATATGTTGTAAACATAATGCTCAGGGAAACCTCAGACCTAGGAGAGGAAAGTTTCCCAGACCCAGCTACCCATTTGAAGTAATCCATATGGATTTCATTGAGTTGTCTAACTGTAACACCTACAGGTACTGCCTGGTGATTGTGTGCCCGTTCTCAAAGTGGGTAGAAGTTGTCCCCACTAAGAAAGCAGATGCTATTTCAGTGGCTAAAGTGATATGCAAAAATGTGATCCCAGAGCATGGGATCCCCCAGACTATTTACAGTGACAATGGTCCTCATTTTGTGAATGAAGTAATTGAGAAAATGTCACAACATCTGGGGATAACGCTGAAAAACCATTGCTCATATCACCCACAAAGTGCAGGGCTGGTTGAAAGGACTAATGGCACAGTAAAGCTGAGACTCAGGAAAACAATGGAGGAAACAGGCAGAACATGGGTAGACTGCATTGAGCTAGTGAAAATGTATATGAGAATCACGCCAACTGATAATGGCCTAACGCCTTTTGAAATAATATATGGCAGGCCATTTAGAGTTCCAGTGTTTTGTAATGATAATGATAAAGCAGAAGAAGAAAACACACTAGCAGACTGGATGATTAAAATGCTGAAAAGCAAAGAAGTCATGGGTGCAAATAATCTGCCAGATGATTCTGTTTCTGTACAGGAAGAACGTCTGAAGCCAGGGGACTGGGTACTGATAAAGGTCATAAAGAGGAAGTGCTGGTCGAAGCCACGGTGGGACGGACCATACCAGGCTCTGCTGACAACACCAACTGCTGTGAAGATTGCAGAACGACCCACCTGGATACACCAAAGCCACTGCAAAAAGGTGACACACATCCAGGCCAGCTCGGAGTAAGTGGCAGGAAGACCGGGTACACAAAGGGGGGGAAAGCCTCTAGGGCCCTTCGTCTCAATCCGGTGAAGAAACCAACTGAGCCACAGGTACTCATCAGAATGGCTGGTAAAGTGTTGTCTACCCTGCTGGGTGTAATGGCTTTGATGTCATCATGGTCAGCTATGGAGACCCTGTATGTCCAAGGAAACCACACCCAATACCCTCATGGCTATTCTACAAACTTTTGGTGGCAGTTTATGAATACAACTGCTCACTTGAACAATAGGACGGACTGCTATGTGTGTGCTCATATGCCGTTATCCGCATATACATCTGGACTGTGGCCGTACAGCATACCAGAGGACAGGAGTTGGTGTCTGTTGGGCTTAGCAACTCATCCTGGCAACAGAGTCCTCTGGTCCCAGGCCAACTATAGTACACCTCTGAACATCACCTGGAGTAAGTCGCCACTTATAGATGTGAATTGTTCTGAGCAAACTGACTTATTGGCCTGGCCTCAAGTGTCAGACCCACTGCCAGACATAATATTGCTGAACAAGCTGAATACAGCTCAACTGCCGTTGTGTGTGATGAACAATGGATCACTGTCAGTGGGGGAGCTGCCGCTTCGTTTATGTGGATACATATACACCTACTGCCCTCCAGAGAATGAGAGCAGGTGTATGAAATGCTTGACCAGTGCAAAGTGAGCTGAGAACTTGACATTAAGGAGGACTGAATGCAAGTCCAACCGGGCTTACAGGATACCAGTAAAAGCAAAGAGTCAGAAGTGGACAGGATGTGCAAGGATGGTGCCGAGCAGTAAAGGAACAAGAGTTTTGGCTGATTGGTATTTCTTGTGTGGACATAAAGCCTATCTATCACTCCCTGAGGGATGGGGAGGATTGTGTGCCGTGGTGAAGTTATCGGATCATGTCTTCTTCATGGACAGAGTTGAACATCACCCTAGCAACCGACGGAAGCGTGAGGTGAATATAGCCTCACCTAACTCTTTTGGAGTGACAGTAGACACTGGAGTGCCACGAGAATTCCGCATTTGGAGTGGAGGAGCTAAATTCTTCCAAAGTTTGATCCCAAACATCGGAGTTGCAGAGGTGCGGGATCATGTGGAGATCAACCGATATGCCTTACTGCGACACATTAATCTCACTAAGACTCTGGGAACAGCCTTAGCGGAGGAGCAAAAGGCCATCAGAACGATGGTACTGCAGAACAGGCTGACCCTAGACTTGATAACAGCATCACAAGGAGGAGTGTGTAAGCTGATTGGAGAGACATGTTGTACGTTTATTCCGGATGGATATACGACTGGAGGAGACATCTATGAGGCACTGCAGAACTTAACTGCTCTGCAGAAATATGTGGCGGACCACACATCAGGAGGAGACACGTCACAAGGCTGGATAGCCTGGTTGACATCTGGACCATGGTGGAATATGTTTCTAAAGTTTTTGACTCCCATTCTTACATTATTGGCTTTGCTTTGCTTGTTTACAGGTTGCATTTTGCCATGTGTAAGATCGATGGTGAATAAAATGATTGCTAACACCTTTACCAATTTCATACTGTTGCAGCAGAGTGACATGGATGCTAAGGCTAATATGTGTGTATGAAATGAAGCCTGCACTGAAAATGTTGACAAGTGGTGTAGAGCTGAAGATATATATATGCCGTATAGCCTTAAAAAATGACAATACAGGGTGGTGATGATGGGTTTAGATTTTATTATTGTCATTTGTATTAGGAAATATTTAACCATATATTCTTAGAGGTGTATAATCAATTGTGTAGTGATAGGATGTGTGATCTTTAGCAGGCTGCAGGGGCTTGGTGTGTATTCCACACTGGAATGCACACCCACATCCTGGGAGCACGAGAGAGGTCGTACCTTCTCTTATTGTTTTATGGCAGGATTAACGTAGCTACGTCTGTTCTAGTCTAAGTGCTTTTTGTTTAGATGAACTGCTGGACTTCCTCACCATGTTATCTAGGGTGAACCATCTAGGGTGAAGGGGGTCTACCCTCTTCCTGACCAAGGATGTTATATGACCCTTTGATCAGCAGTACCACGCACACACACACACACACACACACACACACACACACACACACACACACACACACACACACACACACACACACACACACAGTATTCTTTGTTCACATGTATACCTATGTGAGATGCTATATGTTAATGACCCTATGCATATTCATGTAACCACAATAAAAGGAGTGCTATGGGGAGCCTGGCTGAGAGTCTGATGGTGGTCAAGTGGTGGAACGACGCTTGGCTCCAGCCAGGTCTCCCTCATGCATGAGTAAACCAGAGAACTTTGGTGCCTTGTGTCTTGCTTTTTGCTGCGTAGCAGATTGTCCTTAACGTTCCAGTGGATAGGTTCAAACTACAAACCTATCACTTTCACTTCAGCTTCACCAACAACAGCACAAGCAGAGCAGCCCACTGCCTGCATGGCTGGGACAGCGCCCCCTGGTGACTGTAAACCACTACAACATGTAGACGGCCGTCTGCAGGCTGGATGTAGCACCACCGCAGAGACGTGCTGCAGCTCTGTTTAGTTACCCAGCTGACAGCAGAGGCTGTAGTTTACTGTTACCAACATGGAAAACTGAAGCTTCACCAGCTGGAGCTACAGAGCTGGAGAACAAAGGAGACTGAGAGGCCAGAATGATGTGGGAGGAAACATCAAGAGCCTGTTTGAAAGGAGACACATGTGGATGCTGTGCCAGTCTGTGGTCTGTCAGAAGTCAGCTGAGTCACACTGCAAGAAGCTGCAGAATCTCAGAGGAGGAGATTTGGAAGTGTTTGTGGGACAAACTGGACTCAAAGAAAGAAGATGTTTGTGAAGTCTTTGGTGGAGGTGAGCAGTGTGAAGCAGAACACATGCAGATGAATCAGGAGGTCAGCATCAGTGTCTCCTTGTGGTGGACGGTAAAAGAATCAGAGCCAACGCTCCCGTCCACCCTCGGCATGAAGCAGTGCTGTTTCTGAAACAGGAGGACAAGTCCAGAGAAGACAGAGGAAGCAAAGATGAGGGTGGGACAGGACAGCAGGACTTCCTTCACACCTGCAGCTCCATCACACTGCTGTAGCTCCTCTTCATCACACATGTACCTGCAGCCTGTCTTCAAGTCCAGGAGTCACCTCCACACAGTGTAGAAGCCTCCTGTGCAGACCATGGAGTCCAGCCTCTGTCAGGGAAGTCGGCACTAAAGCCTGAAAGACTTCAATCTGTCTCTGCTCCACCCGAGAAAGACCAGCACCGTACTTGTTGTGCATTCAAGGAGGGAACATCAGCACTGCATCGTGGGAACAACACCGCAGCACGGCCGATGAAGGACGAGGACAAAGGAAAGGTGAGTGAGAAGACCCTGGTGGTGTGGACGGACCTGCAGGGGCTCCAAGACTGAGGAGCAGAGACGTCCATGTACCAGCTGAGGATGCTGCAGTGATCCAGGGAGCTCGGTCCAATCTGAGGCCGTGTGAACTACGTGGACCACAGTTTCTTCACAGACTTCAGCCACGTGAACATCTGGAGATCCAACAGTGCACGAGCTGTGAGCCATCAGCTGTTTCTCTCATCAGCTGCTGTAATGAGAGCTGCTGGAATCATCTCGAGCAGCAGGAAATCACTGATGTTGTTTCTAACCAAAGATATGGGACTGAGCTCCGCTGAGCTCCTTCTACTTTCATCCAGATAGAAACTGCTACAGTCTGCTGATTATTGCTTTGCCTCCATCACACGAGCTCTTTATCCTGTTCTTCACTCTCATTGGTTCTTTGTCTGCTTGTTTTTACAACAGTAGTCTTCTGATTGGTCAAAGGAGACAATCAGCTGTGACTAAATGTAGCTCCTACAGCAGTGATGGGAATAACTACTGAAGCTAATCCAGTATCAAAGCTCAGGAATCAGCAGCTCCCACCTCGTTTTCTTTCAACAACTATTTTTAGCTGCTGTGTTTTTGTGTTTCTGCAGACCTCAGACATCCTGCTGCTCTGGACAACTTTTTCATTCTTTTTTTATCATTCTTTTGCTTTTCTTTTATTATTATGTTATATGTATTAATATGTGAAACACTTATTCTTTGTGTTTTTGCTTTACTTCCTGTCAAACTGCTTTAATAAAATCTGCTGCAGTCTAAACTGTGGACGTTCCCTTTTTAACCCTTTGTGAAACAATAAAGGTTTAAATCTGAGTATTCATCTATGTTAGTGTTTAATGGGTCTAATAGGACGCTTTTAGGGGGTGGGTTTTTATAATCGATTTATCGATTAAAATCGATTCTGGCTTGGATAACGTAAAATCGATTAATTAAAATCCTGAATCTATTTTTTAATATAAATTTATTTTGCTTGAAATTCCAGAATTTCTGGTGAAATCTCACAAAATCTCAACAACAGTTAAGACAGTAAATGAGAGCAGGAACACGGATTCTGCACAAAGACTTAAACACACAGCGCGACCCGCGAATCAGAATCAGTGAGATGTCGCTTTTCTCACCTGATGGCACGGACACAGTCGGGGTTGAAAGCCGACAGCTCGCTGATTCTGATGTTTCAGCGGCTCCGACCTTTGTGTTTAACCTGTTTGAACCTGCTTACCTATACCATACCGTCACTACCATTATATTAATGCTGCTATTCATACTGTCATTATAGTAATGCTGCTATCCTGCATATATCTTACTTACTATTGTTTGAATACTTGCGATTGTTTTATTGTACTTTTTATATTTTACATTTATATTTATTATTGAATCTTGCACCAAGGGAGTGGCACTCCAATTTCGTTGTACTCTGTACAATGACAATAAAGGCTATTCTATTCTATTCTATTACGTCCTTTTTACGCTGATTCTGAAGCTGTTAGTTTTAATCTCTCTACAAACAATATTGACTGAACCAGCAGCAAAAGAAGATCCAAACTACGCTTCACATAAACATCGTCATGAACTCACTCTGACTTTTGCTGTTTTGCTTCCACCAGGATAAAATCACACTTCATGCACAGCTCTCTCTCTCTCTCTCTCTCTCTCTGTACTTCAAGAACAGTTTCCCATCTAAAAATCTGTTTTCTGCATTATTCGCTTGCTTGTTACGCACAAGTTTACCGTTGTTTACAGGCTGTCGGCCACTGTTTTTTCCTTTTACTTACTTCCGAAAAGAAAGCCTCATTTCTGCCGTTCAATACTGAACAAATTTAAACTTTTTAAAATTATGCAAAACTGCAAAACGCTGTGTTTGTAATAAAAACGGTGTAACTTTGCTCTGCTTCACTTCAGCAGCATCAGGTAATGTTTATGTGTTTTTGATCTACTGCAGAATATTTTTATAAAATCCCAGGAAAATCCGCTTCATGTTTTTCTGTGTTTTATCTTCAGCTACTTTGACACAAAGGCCTCTGCTGTGATGCTCACACCTTTGATAAAGTCGCGAAAGTGCCAGCTTCCCTTTTATAGATACAAAAATATGTAAATATACTGATCTGAATTATAATATTTCTGACTGTCTGAGGCAACATTTCCCAGATTCCAATCGAATTGAATCGAATCGATTCTAGAAATCAGTGACGATACCCAGCCCTACTTTGAATTGTGTTACACAAAAATAAGCAAAGTTTCTCGTTGTTCAGGCAGAATCGAGCGTTGAAGAATGAATTCACACGTCAATAAACATTTTCATCAGCACAAGCAGGACAATGAAAGCAGGAAATACCCCAAACTGCCATTTCTCATTCTACAACTTCAACAACTGCACATGAATTATACTTCATACACAGACCCACAGTCTCTGATTGCTCTGAAATCTCACTGACAGCCAATAGAAATAAAGAAAAGTCCAGACTGACAGTCTCTGTGGGGTTAGGCAGTGAACTGCTCACGCTGCGTTAAAGTGCATCACAAACTATTGGAATTGGATCCAACTTTGTGAAGCAGATTTCTTCTCAGCTGCTGTTTTGAACATTTCCTCATGAACTGTATTAAACTCTGTAAATGAACTGAGAACTATTTCTACATTTGAAACTATGGATTCATTTTCCCGTTCACTTCTGTACGTTAGTGTATAAATGAATGTTAGACTGGGCTCCATGGAAACACTTGGACTGGTCTCAGCTGCCTTCTTTCTGTAGTCCTTTCTCTTCTCCAGCTTCTGTTTGAAATCCTCTCACAGAGCCTGAAACCTGCTTTGCTGTCATGTGTGGGCCTGTGTTCCTCTGCTTTAACACAAACCTCACCACAGCAGCTGTGTGGGTCGTCTCTGTAGCAGCCAGATCAGCTTCTGATACATGAACATCATCACAGCTCCTAACTTCACCTTTATTAGCTTTGACATTCATGTCTTTCTTTTCTCTGTCTGTTTCCACACAAGCTCAAAGTCTCTGCAGCCTGTTTTTATCTGCTATCATCAGATCTCCAACAGCCTCATTCACATCCCTCACACACTCTACAGCCTCACCAGTACTGACTTCATCTTCACTGACTGATGGAGCACAACATGAACCTGTGGAGGCTGAAAAGCTGTCCTGACAAACATCTCCCCATCACCACTGCACTTCTGTCAGCCTTTAAATGAACCCTGCTCAAGTCTGTAACTTCTATTTGGAGCCAAGAGGAAAACTGTTGTTCAGTCGTTTGGAAAGACACAACATTTCTGAAAGCACTCAAACTTCTTCACATTTGTCTTCAGACACATCCTGAACATTTAGGAACTAAAGAACGTTTCAAATATCAAAGATCAGAAATATAGAAAAACAACAACAGCTGCAGTCAGTGAACTCACCTCAGAGTCTCCAGTCGACAGTTTGGACTCTCCAGTCCAGCACACAGAAGCTTCACTGCTGAATCCTGCAGCTTGTTCTCACTCATGTCCAGTTCTGTCAGATGGGAGGGGATGGACTTCAGAGCCGAGGCCACAACTTCACAGTGAGTCCCTGAGAGTCCACAGTCAGCCAGTCTGTGATTACAGAAAATACAAAATGTGTTATTATAAAAGCAGAAAGTCTGCATTATAAACACAGACTGAATGTATATGAAGACAAAACAGAGTGAGGTCATAATCTGATGAACATCTGCTCTTCACATCTGTGCTTCAGCTCCTCTTACTGTGTTTGACATGACACAACGATTGAGTCTCTCTCAGACCTGCAGACTTTTAATGAGAATCTTTGTTTGGCTTTAATCTGCAGATGAAGGAGGAAGATGGTGTCACATTTAGGCTTCCATAATGTCCACAGTCTGTCACTGAGATCTGATCCAGAGTCAGAGTGAAGACACACATGTGGACTGTTTCCTGTCTTGAATCCAGAACATTTTGAATGAGCTCAGCTCAGTGAAGAGTTCCAGCTGGAAAGACGATCTCTGTTTGCTACCTGCTGCTGTCAGGTACGACTGTTCACGTCCACACTCAGGAAAAATCTGCTGACTGTCACCAAACGGAGCAGAAATCTCATCACTGGACAATAATGATGAATGAACTCAGAGCTGCTGATATCACATCTGATTTCAGGGGAACTAAACACAGAAATGATTGGCTCATTTTAGCTTTCTGAGCCATTAGTCTGCAGGTTTATCACTAGTTGGCAGAAACAGACTTGTATTAATGTTCAGCGCTTCAGTGTTTATGACTCCAGATCCAGGTGACAGCAAGTCAAAATGATGTTACCTGTCTGTGTCCAGCAGCAGCCTTTGAATATTGTTATAAACTCACATGGATCAGTTTGTCTTTGATTGGTTTGTAAAGTTCAAATTCATTTATATTCATCAACTCTAAATGAAAAATGTTTTTCTTCTTCTATGTTTATTATTAGAGTAACAAATTCTTATAGTTTCCTGTTGTTGAGAATTTCAGTGTAAAACCACTCGGACCTGTGCATCACTGCACACTGTGAAAGTATTACTGCAGTTTAATCTATAATCCTAATCAGTGTGTTTACTGGACTGTAGTCAGACCTCCGTTATACCAAAGGAAACACTGAACGTCTTCAAAGTCACAATAAATTTATACTAAATGCTAATAAATACTGGAGTGTTAGAAAAGATGCTTCCAGCGTGTTTGTCTTTGATAGGGTTTATTCTGTTCGTCTACAGTCTGACCACTTGGGGGCGCTTTTGTCTCTTTTGCTCTGAGCCTTGGGTTTATTCAAACTGATTTTAATAAACTATTTTCTGCAAGTTGAAGCTTCATCTCCATCTCCAGTGGTTGTTGCATATTTTATGACTATATTAGTAACAGTCAGAGAGTTTAGAGTAAATTAGATCTTCACGTTTGATTTTTGACACAACATAAATGGTGAGCCAGTGTCAGAGGAAGTGACAGCATCCACCGAGGACCGGGGGGAGTGGGAGGACTGGGGGACCAGGCCAACAAAAAGGTGATCACTGATACAGGTCAGCAAACATTTGCTCATTTGGTGTCTTAGAGCAGACTCCGCCCAGCTTTGTCGTGCATGGTTGCTCTTTCAAAGGAATCTAGTTACATATTATTTTACTTAATGATTTACTGACACCACTGACTATGCAGGACAACCCCACGTCTGGAGCCAGTGCACATGTGCACAGTCTGTAAATTTATCCAAGTCACACAAGCATTTTGAAATAAGTCCTAATCAGTCCAAGAAAAACAGTCTTGAAGGGTCTGGATGGACTCGCTGACCACACCAGAACCAGCACTGAGGTTTAGTTCTCTTTAAGACAGATTTCATGATGGGAACCAAATAAAACACATTTCAGTCAAACATGCCACAGAGAGCTCTACAGAAAGATTTATTAGGTTCCTTGATGGAGCCATAACAAACGTCAGCGAGCGACCTCCCAACTGTACATTGATTAAAATGACAAAATAAACTGGGAGCGTCTGGTGTGACGTTACTGTGGTCTGAGTGGCGACTTCCACATTCGCCCTCAGTTGAACGTACACATCACTAACAAGGATCTGTGGAAACTCTCTTGGTAAGTAAAAAGGATGCAGGGAGGCGGATCGAAGTTCAGTCTCAGCCGTGATTCCCTCACCACCACTTTATCACCAGCTCTCATTATTTTAAAGACAGAGACCCTCACACTGGGCTTCACTAGTTACTGCTGGGTCTCTGTTATACAGAAGGCCAATGCCACATTAAGGAAAAAATAATGTCCTTAATTTCAACATTAAAGGTGAAAATGACTTTGAGAATAAAGAAGAAATGTGGAGATTTGCTGTTTCAGGACAAAGTGCCACAGCTGCTGTACTCTCTGAGTCAGTGAAACTTCAGCAGTGGTGTTAGCTAAAGAAGGGAAATGATTCCTGTTACACATCCATGTGTTATATAAACACAGTGTGGTGAAAAGTATAAAGATGCTGAAAGGATGGTGCAGAAAGCTGAAAAACACAAATCTGGAAGATTTGTACAAAATCAAATGTCTCGGCCTTACTCCGTTTCCATCGAAGCAATAAGGTCAGCTTTCTTGTGCTCCACGGTAAACCTGTTCACCGTGGAGAAATCACGCTGAAGAACTCGGCAAGTAAGGCCCCTGTGAGCTCCACATCTCCAGCGTCGGGTCCCAAAAGAATAAAAGTGACTCTCGACTATACTGGCGAACCTGAAGATCTCCACAGAGCTCTCACTAAGTGGCAAGTCAGCATCCAGGTGAGGAGGATGGCTGTGAAACCAAAACGAGCCAGAATGACTCAACAATCCACTTTAAGAAAAACAAACACACAAATCACTCTGGCCCACTCACTGCTGCTACACGTCACCAACCACCAGGGATGATGATGATGATGCTGGCATCAAGTAATCAAAGCTCAGCTTCTCGTCTGGTGATGATTTCTGATCATTTCTATGATGATCGTACCAAATAATGCAGATACGACGTGATCACGCCCAACACTCTGCCAACGGGCACAGACTGACCTCTTCCTGCTGTGAGTCGTCCCTGTCAGAGCCTCGTCCTTGTGACTTGGTGATGCTGTGGTGTGTTCGTGACCTCACACGCTGTTTGTGTGACTTTTGTTATAAAGGGGCGGAGTCACGAGTGGTGACGGTTTACAAATAATGACCTGCAGTGACCTCTGACTCTAATTTTGGATGTATTCTGGCACACTGTTGTCCATCTCAGCTCTTTAGTATAGAGGAAAGAAAAACTAAAGAACTGAAGCACATATGCTGATGGTGATGATGTCACAGATAATGTGATTGTTCACACGTTCAATAATTAGTTGGAAAAATTAAGAAAGTGCAATCAGAGCCCAGATAAAGACAATAACATCAGACAGAAAGAGCAGTGATCAGAAGCACAAACAGAGGCTGCTTTGGACCATCTTCACTGTTTCACACAGTTTCACTTTACTACAAACACGTTCTTTGTAAAGTCTCACTTCAGTCTTCTCTCCTAAGGAGCAATGCTAACAGACCAACAGCAGCACAGACATGAGCAACAGTCTCATTACTGTCTGCTGCACCGTGTTAACACGACCAGGCGGAAACAGCACACAGATAAAACATGTCAGACTGCAAACTCAGCGTAAGACTAAAAACCGACGACGTGGTGAAAAGCTCACAGTTACACACCCACATACATGTGAAGGTGCACTCTCCTACCAAGGTCTCTGCCAGAATAATACAAACGTAGTGTTCTGATTAAAAACAAAACATTTTTAAAAGCATGAAAACAACAAGAAGAATTTATTACTGTGTGACTGAGTAACTAAACTATCACTAATTGATAATATTAATGATCACATCTGGACTCACCGAGCCTTTCTGAAGTTCCTCACAGCTGCAATCAGTCGACGTTGTCCCTCTGCTGTTGTGTTGTACTTCTTCAGGTCCAACTCATCCAGAACCTCCTCTGACATCTGCAGCATGAAGGCCAGAGCTGAGCAGTGGATCTCAGAGAGTTCCTTCTCTGATTTGTTCTCTGACTTCAGGAACTCTTGGATCTCCTGAGATAATAAGATGTCGTTCATCTCCATCAGACAGTGGAAGATGTTAATGCTTCTGTCAGGAGAGGATTTTGTCTTCCTTTCTTTTAGATTCTTGATGACTCTCTGGATGGTTTCTGGACTGTTCTCTGTCTGACCCAGCAGACCTCCTAAGAGTCTCTGGTTGGACTCCAGACAGAGGCCATGAAGGAAGCGAACAAACAGGTCCAGACGACCATTTTTACTCCTGAAGGATTTTGTTAGTGTTTCCATCAAAAAATCATCCAGAGATGACTCTTTGTATTTTTTTCCCAAGAAGTTCTTCAGCACCTCTGACTTCCTGTTGGTGAAACAGTGGAACATGTAGACTGCAGCCAGAAACTCCTGGATGCTCAGATGAACAAAGCAGTAGACTGGTTTCTGGAAGATCACACACTCTCTTTTGAAGATCTCTGTACAAACTCCTGAGTACACCGAGGCCTCTGTCACATCCAGACCACACTGCTCCAGGTCTTCTTGGTAGAACATGATGTTTCCTTTCTCCAGATGTTCAAACGCCAGCCTCCCCAGCTTCAGAAGAACTTCCCTGTCAGCCTCCGTCAGCTCCTGTGGACTCGTCTCATGTCCCTCGTGGTACTTGTTCTTCTTCCTCTTTGTCTGAACCAGCAGGAAGTGTGAGTACATGTCAGTCAGGGTCTTGGGCAGCTCTCCTCTCTGCTCTGTAGTCAACATGTGCTCCAGAACTGTAGCAGTGATCCAGCAGAAGACTGGGATTCTACACATGATGTGGAGGCTCCTGGATGTCTTCATGTGGGAGATGATTCTGCTGGACAGCTCTTCATCACTGAATCTCCTCCTGAAGTACTCCTCCTTCTGGGCGTCAGTGAAGCCTCGTACTTCTGTTAGCCTGTCAACACATGTAGGAGGGATCTGATTGGCTGCTGCAGGTCGGGAAGTTATCCAGACGAGAGCCGAGGGAAGCAGATTCCCCTGGATGAGGTTTGTCAGCAGCTGGCTGACTGATGACTTCTGTGTGACATCAGACAGCAGCTTCCTGTTGGTGAAATCCAATGAAAGTCTGCTTTCATCCAGGCCGTCAAAGATGAACAAAAGCTGAGAGACAGCCAGCTTCTCTGCTGTGACCTTCTGTAGTGTTGGATGGAAAACATGGAGCAGCTCCAGAAGACTGTACTGCTCCTCTCTGATCAGGTTCAGCTCCCTGAATGAAAGCAGAACCACCACACTGACATGTTGGTTCTCCAAGCCCTCTGCCCAGTCCAGAGTGAACTTCTGCACTGAGAAGGTTTTTCCAACACCAGCCACGCCGTTGGTCAGAACCACTCTGATGGGTCTCTGTTGGTCAGGTAAGGCTTTAAAGATGTCCTGGCACCTGATTGGAGTGTCATGGAGGGCGTCCATCTTGGAAGCTGTCTCCAGCTGCCTCACCTCATGTTGGCTATGAACCTCTTCACTCTGTCCCTCTGTGATGTAGAGCTCAGTGTAGATCCTGTTGAGGAGAGTTCTACTTCCTGTTTCATCACTTCCTTCAGTCACACGTTCACATCTCCTCCTCAGACTGATCTTATGTTCATCTAAAACCTCCTGCAGACCAACATCTGCTGAAAGAAAGAAAAACAGAAAGAAAACTCTTCAATGTCTGAACAACAACAAGAAGTCCAGTTTTCAGAAATGAGTCCATCAGCAGACAGATGTTCAGTCTTACTTTGTACACAGCTGCTCTGACTGGCTGTCTGCAGTCCAGCTCTGCTTCTGGATCTTTCTCCACACTGGGGACAGGACCAGTCTCCTGATGAAGCAGACTGGTCCCAGTATGAGGACATGCACTGTCTGCAGAACCAGTGTCCACAGCTGGTAGAGACTGGATCCTTCAGGACGTCCTGACACAAAGCACAGCAGGACAGCTGCTCCTCCTCACAGACACCACTCCTCTTCCTCTTCCTCCCTCTGTGAACACATTTCTTTATCACTAAAATCATTGACTGCCAGTGACAAACATCCAGATTTGATGACACTGTGCAGAAGCTCTGATGGTCACAGAGAAAAGTCAAAGTGGAGAAACTTGTGTTTGAGTTCAGAATCCAAGTTTCCTTTGCTGTTCCTGCCTGTCTTATTAAACACAGAGTGATCAGCCTACAAACTCCACAGTAAAAGCCTTCATCACAGAGCTGATTATGTCCTTCACTGGATGTACTGGAAGTTTGGGATCCATCACTTTCAACTGACCTTTGACCTCCTCTAAAAACTGTTGTGGAGCAGCGGTGTCACATTCAGAGTTTTCAGCTTTATTTTGAAAGAGTTCAGTCATCAGGAAGTGAACTTCTGGGTTCTGATTTCCTTTCTATTCTTTTACAGAAGTGAAGAAGAAGAACTAAAAGCTTTGAAATGATCTGAGTGATATTTTTGAACATTGCCACCAAATTGAGTTCAGCCTCCAGCAGTAACTTTGTTTCATGATGCCTCCCTGATGATGTGATGTTTGATTACAAACCTGTTTATGTGTTAGACATTAATCACATGAACACAGGCAGAAAAAAGAAGCCAATGAAACAAATGACAGAAACGTGTTCATTCACTGCCATGATCCATATTTGATATGTACAGATGTTTGTAAAGAACACGTGTGCAGCGCTTTGTTCTGAGTATCTGCTGTCAGCACACAGTGCAGCAATAACTACAACCACACGTTTCTGTAGATCCTGAACATCAGCCTGGAGGAATCTGACCTCAGGTCTGCACACAGAGGAGCTTCACCTCTGGGATGATGCTGGCTTCAGCTCCTTCTACAATCAGGCAGAAGCTTCTGCACCATCAGGACACAAACAGAGAGGAGCTTCTATCCTCAGACCATCCAAGTCCTAAATCAGAACATGCTCCCCTCATAGCATCACCATCAGGGTTTAAACAGGACCTTACATCATGTTCTTGTCTCACTGTCATATTTCAGATCATACCTGATTCATTATGACGTCACACGCTGCTACACTGATCCTGCTGCTTCATTACTGCTGATATTACTCTGCTCACTCTGTTCAGTTACTCTGTTTACATCACTTTGCTCATTTGCTTTGTTCTGCTTGCACTGCTCTGTCAGTACATGCTGTGCTAATGTGGCACAAAGCACTTTAACATTACATCTCCACAATGTTTCATTATTTCATTTAATGATTGTTTCTAATGTTTTGTCCAGTCACAGGAGCAGCTCAGCACATTTCACTGTGTTGTACGTGTATGACGATGCCTGTGACAAATAAACAGCCTCGGACTCTTCAATCTTCTGCATTTCTTTGGAGATCAGCTCAGTGGCCTGTTGAGACCATCTTTCTATTTCTGATGACTCAGTTCAGATTATTATCCTGATACTTTCTTTTAAAATGTGATGAAATCATTTATCTGATGTTCTGACACAAATACACCAAAACAATCCCAAACAGCACAAACCACCACGTTACACACAGTGTAATAAAAATACAGGCAACTACAAATAAAAACACTTTAAAAATATAAACTAAAATTACAAAGTGGTCACAGAATTTCAAACACCCGTAAATGAGTCAGCAGCTCTCTTACATGGTCAGCTGAGCTCCATGATTGAAGTTCACTGTTGGTGCAGGTTCATGACTGAAGACTGGAGGTTTGTCTTTGGAGCAGTCACTCCTCATAGACACACAGCTGGATGCTGGAGACTGTGACCTCTGACCTCTGCAAACACAAACACATGAATTACTGATTAATCTCTCTTTAAACTCTTTTAAGCAGCGGCAAACACACAAACTGGATGATGTGATGGTTTCTGTCAGTAATAGTTGTCTCAGATTAGAGTACAGACGGCTGCAGAGACGTTCACAGCAACAGAGAAGAAATCATTACCTTGGATTGCATCACTACTACGATTGATACTAGCATTATCGTACCCGGACCACCATTAGGAATCATTTATGATGTCACTGGTAGAACATATTTATAGAAACAACCTTTGAACTCTGAGTCAGCAGCTCTCTTACATGGTCAGCTGAGCTCCATGATTGAAGTTCACTGTTGCTGCAGGTTCATGACTGAAGTCTGGAGGATCTATTTCTTTGGACCAGTCACTCCTCACAGACACACAGCTGGATGCTGGATACTGTGACCTCTGACCTCTGCAAACACAACCACATTGCATTCATTTCACATCAATTAGTACACCACAAAAGGCATGCAAGAAACACAGTATGAAGGCAAACTTCTGGCTTCAATAACATTCAACAGGTCAGGTGGAAACTTTTCTCAGATTTGATTCATGTTTTTATAGAACGATCCAGCTAAAAAAAATATACCATTAGGTCAGGGGTCAGCAACCTTCAGGACCCAAAGAGCCATTTGGAGCCAGTTTCCACGCAAAAGAAAACACTGGGAGCCACAAATACTTTTTGACATCTAGAATGAAGATAACACTGTATATACTGTTTTTTACCTTTATGCTTTGTGTGAACAACTAAGGTGTGTTGCTTATGAAATCCATGAAGTGCTACAGAGAAAATTACATGTTATTTATGTAATGAACACATTTGAACTCTTAAAGAAATATAACCAAAGGAAAGACACCCAGCTGAACTAAAATGATGTAGCAAACAAAAGCTGCTGTGAGCCGCCACCCTTATATCTCCTTTGGGCTTTTGGAGCCTTGACCTGACTTTTAAAAAACAATTGGAAAAAAAGCTCTATGCTGCTGAAAGATGAAAAATAGATATTTGCAAAATTCTGCCTAAATATGTATTTTACCTGGTTAATGTGTGTGGCGGGGCGTGGTCAGCAGCGGCGCTGCAGGGGAGGCGGACGCACCTGAGCGGCACCCGCAATCACGCCTCGCCGCCTTAACGTCTGTGCTGTTGTGTTGGTGTGTGTCGGGCTGTGAGCTGCAAAGCTACAGCCGGCTGTGTGCGTACAGCAACCGTGTGTGAAAAGTGGTCAATAAAGAGAAGCTGAAAAGCGTGTTCATGCAAACATCGTCGGGTCTGCCGTGATATGTTTACAACGGGACTTCTGCTCCTGAACCTCTGCGCACAGCGTCTGCAGGTCGGGGCTGTACGAAGTCACTTTCATCTTTACAGGACTGTAAGCTGTCGTCTGTGAGGCGTGAGCGGTGTTTGTTTTTAACATAGTTCATGGTGGAGAACAGCTGCTGACATAATGTGGATCCGAAGATCCATAATTGGCCTTCCTGGGGCTGAAAGTCTCGATAAATGCACGGCGTTTCGGCGGGTACACCGGCTTCCGCGAGTGTGACGCTTATTTGAACGATGAAAAAATAAAAAATATAATTTTCTTTTTATATTTCAATATCACAATAATCTTCCAATTTAGAACTACAAGTTAAAAAAGAACATAAATAAAATACACTTCAGCTAAATACTTCTAATTTATTTTCCCAAACCACGAGGAGCCGCACTGTAAGGACTAAAGAGCCGCAGGTTGCCGACCCCTGCATTAGTGTTAGTCAATGTTGCAACTGAACTGAAAAACAAAAGATTTTGGTCCAAAGAAACAAAGTCACTATTAATACAACACAACCCCCCCAAAAAGAGCCATGTAGACCCCGGGCTCTATGGGTCTTGTGCTCGGAGCTTGTTCCTGTGCTGCCATGATTAGTGCCTCTGTGCTGTCTTTCAGTCCAGCTTTGTTCAGCCACTGGTAGGATTTCTGGATGTCAGCCACTTCCTCTGCCTGCTGGTGGTGCAAACTGTGTTGTTCTGAGTTTCATTGGACGTCTTTGTCCAAAGCACCAGACAAAGGGCAAAGTAGATGCATTTGCATCAGCAGGAAAATACACCCCAAACTAGCATCATCATTATACAACTTTAACAACTGCCACTAAATGATACTTCATACACAGACCAGTGTTAGGTTAAATTATGATGTCACTGGCAGAACATTTATAGAAACAACCTTTGAACTCTGAGTCAGCAGCTCTCTTACATGGTCAGCTGAGCTCCATGATTGAAGAACATTGTTGCTGCAGGTTCATGACTGAAGTCTGGAGGAAATATTTCTTTGGACCAGTCACTCCTCACAGACACACAGCTGGATGCTGGAGACTGTGACCTCTGACCTCTGCAAACACAAACATCAATAACTGATCAGTTCTCTCTGACAGCCATATGATCAGCTGATCCCTCTGTGATATTGTGTCTGCCTCATAACGCTGACAGGTCAGCCAATCATCAGCGGTTTTTTCTGTCTCTGAATGAACTCAGTTTGTTCTCAGCTCTTCTCTGATTCTGCTGCACTGACTTCACTTAAACTTACAGAGTTCAGATCTTAGCAAGAAAACAAGTCAATAAAAAGCTAACTCAGATCAAACAGTTTGAACCAATCACAGATCAATGATTCTGTCATGGTTATGTTGAAATGACTAATAAAGTTAGTAGTGTTCTTACATTATTGCTGCAGGTCCATGACTGTAAGGTGGAGGTGTTTGTGTAACTCCGTCACTCCTCACAGACATACAGCTGGATGCTGCTCCGTCCTCTTCCTCCATCTTCTTGATGTCAGGGTGGAGTTAGTCTGAGAGGTAAACACACACACTCAGAGGTGCTGTTGTCCTGGAAACATCACACTGACGGCTTTCTAATGTTGGAGCTTTGGCCCTAAAGTCCAAACCAGTTTTTTTAGAGGCTCAAAGTCTTTAAAAAACACCAAAACCATCACATTATTTAATAAGTACATGATCAGGTGGATGAAGGAACTCTGTTATTGGACCTGCTGTGTTCTACATATGATCAATACTTCAAATATCTGTAAACATGTCATCTTATATTTGTTGCACTTGGTCACATCTGTCTTTAAAAATAGATTTTAATGTCACTGAGAGTTCTTTTCTACCTTTATTGATTTATTTTGGAATAAATTAAATATAAAGGTGCCAAAAACTGCCTGCAGCTTCTGCTCTGTGACAGGAAACTACTGTCAGGCTCAAAATGACTTCAGATTATTCATCACAGAGTGTTTATAGATCACAGGACACGTTACAGTTTTACTGTCGATGTTTTAGTTTAAAAGAATGACGTGATAAGATCTTACTGTGAATCTGCGCGCTCATTGGCTAATACCTAAAATATGTGTCAGGGCAGACATGAAAACAGGGTCATTATTAAATATGCAGATGACTCTGTTATTATCAGCTTACTGAAAGAGGGTGAAATTAACCACGGTCCAGTCATTGATGACTTTGTTCAGTGGTGTGAGGAGTCTTATCTCCAGCTGAACATATCTAAAACAAAAGACATGGTTGTTGATTTTAGGAAACAACAAAATGGGCACGGAGTCACTTTAATTAAAGGTCAGAAAATAGAGCAAATACAATCATATAAATAGCTTGGGACCATAATAAATGAAAAACTGAACTCTGATCAAAATTGCAAATCAGTTTGTAAAAAGGGTCACCAGTACCTTCATTGCCTTAGGAAACTTGTTCATTTCCACATTGACCAAAAAATTTTAACTTTGTTTTATCGTTCTTTTATTGAGTCTGTTTTATCCTTTTGTTTGGTGGCATGGTTTGGTCAGACCTCTGTCACAGAGAAAAACTCTCTAAATCAGATAGTGAGATGGTCCAGCCGTCTGATAGGTGAGCCACAGTCTTGTTTAGCCTCCCTGTACTCTAAGCAGGTACAGAGGATGGCTTTATCAATCCTTAAAAATGGTTCCCATCCTCTAAGGGGTGAATTTCAGCTTCTTCCCTCAGGACGGAGGTTTCCATTTCCGAGATGCAGGACAAAGCGTTATAAAAATAGCTTTGTCCCCGTTGCTGTCACTGAATTAAATAAGAACTGTTTTTGATTCGAAACATTAAAGTATGTGTCACAGTGAGTTTTATATATTTACTAGGTATGTGTGTTTTTAAAGGGATGTCAAATGCTGTCATTTTTCTGTAAAGCAAATTTACCTTGCCTTTGGGTATAAATAAAGTTACCTTACCTTACCCTGAGACTGACAGGTGGTTATCCAATCAGCGTGCGGCCTCACACGGACATAAAACTCTTAAAGTTTGTTTCTGAAGGGATTTTCAGATCAGACCTGATGTTTCTGCCTACAGCCTGTTTACCGATATAATCAATATCAGACATCAGAGCAACAGAAACCTCGGTGATCAGGACTCCGGGACTGAGAACAGGAAGTGGCTCAAACGGTTTAAAGTCAGCCTGAAATGAGTTTCTGTCGCTGCCTCCTGGCTGCATGCCAAATATCCTTGGGCAAGATACTAAACCCGTGTTTGCCTACTGGTGGTGGTCAGAGGGCCCGGTGGCGCCAGTGTCCGGCAGCTTCGCCTCTGTCAGTGCGCCCCAGGGCAGCTGTGGCTACAATATAGCTGCCATCACCAGTGTGTGAATGTGTGAATGACTGAATGTAGTGTGAAGCGCTTTGGGGTCCTTAGGGACTAGGGACTAGGGCCATTTACCATTTTAGTTTTTAAAAATGTCGTGATAAGGGCGGGTCTTACTGTGAACCTGCGCGCTCATTGGCTAATAACTTGATATTGACAAGTCGTTATCCAATGAGCGCGCGGCTTCTCCCAACATAAAGTAGTTTCCTTTGAAAAACCAAAGTCTGATTATTTTTGCCTCCACTGACGGAGCCTGTTGTTCCCGCCACAGAGACACAGTAATGTCAGAGCGGTGTTAACACTCACCTGCCTCAGCACAGCTCTCACTCTCCTCCTGCTCTCTCAGCTAAACTCACTTCCTCTCTACTTACAGGAAACCAGCGCTCAGAGGAGCCGACCGGCCTCACGTTTCACCCACAGACACGAACAGCGTGGAATTATTTTATGTCATAAGAAGAAACATATTCATGTTAACACTCACCTGCATCAGCTCCACCTTCCTCCTCCTGCTGCTCTGAACGGATCAACACTTTCACTTTCAAGGTTCAAGGTTCAAGGTTCTTTATTTGCCACATACATAGTTATATAAGTATAACACACAGTGAAATGTAGCCTGACACGCTCCTCGACATGTGCAAAAATTGGGGGGGTAGAGGAAGAACATGTGTGTGTATATATATATATATATACATATATATATATATATATATATATATATATATATATATATAAAAAAAACAAACACCCAGCACGCCAACACTTGAAGGATAAACCGCCCCTGCGGGCGGTTTATCCTTCAAGCTCGGGTCCTCTACCAGAGGCCTGGGAGCTTGAGGGTCCTGCGCAGTATCTTCTGGACAGAGATCTCCGATGTTATTCCCGGGATCTGCTGGAGCCACTCGCCTAGCTTGGGAGTCACCGCACCTAGTGCTCCGATTACCACGGGGACCACCGTTACCTATATATACACTCTAAAAAGTAATTCATCAGGCCTTTTACCACCACTTGATTAAATCCATGGCTGCAACATAAAAATTCTAATTTATTGATTAAGATAGACCTCCTAAGTTGCAAACTTTATTTTTTTGGGTTCTGTTGAATTAATAATGTTGGTA